GAAGCATCCCGATTTCTCTCTCAAGAGCAAGGACCACTCGCCCGGCCCGGTCAACTCCGGTCTCAGGTCTCCCACAGCGACAACGAGGCCGACGCAATGTTCTTCAATCATTCATGTCATTCATTAAAAAAAAAAAAAAAAAACTTTAATGAAACGAAAAGGGTTACAGCACGAAGAATGTCTTAATGCACGGCCATACTGCTACTAAATACACCACGCAAAATACAGCCTACAGACATTGTCCGAGGCGTTTTTTTTTCCTTGTACGACGGTCCGGCCATATGTCCTGTCAGACACTCACGTGTTCCAACATTACATATGCATGGAGCAAGCATGCTTGGAGTGCGTTTGACGCGTGTCCGCAGATATTCTTGTTATGCCCGAGTCCCACTAGAGCGACAAACAGAAACAAACGACAGCGACAAACACCGAACCGGAGTCTTTCGGGATTTGACAGGCTTTGTAGAAGAAAGGAGGCTAAGCGCATGCACGCGAGGGTATCTTTGGCAGGCTTGCAATCACTCCTGCTTACTTCACGAGCACCGAACGATTAAACACCTGCCAAACGCACCATCGCGAGCCTGCTGCATGAGGCAACTGTCGCTGTCGTTTGTTTTTGTTTGTCGCTCTAGTGGACCTCGGACATGATGGCATGATGTCTGCAATGGACACCGTGTCTTTTGCACGATGTGCGAGAAGTGTGACTGGAACTTTAGGCTACACCAAATCCTGGGGGTGGCCGTGTCTTACGACGTGGTCAGGCAACCAGGCTCCTCGTGGAGTCGCTGATACAGCCACCCTGCCAAGAAGAATCAACCAGAACCGTTTACCTGGCGTGCCTGCGCGGTTGCGGACGTTTGGCGCCAGTCTCGTCGGTTTTTTCTTTCCCTTCGAGTTAAGGAGGGGCGCCGAATGTAGTCAAGTGGCCGGTCGGCCCGGTTACAGGAGTATGCCAGTAGGACGCCGCATCCCAATCGAGGCCGCGCTGCGCCGACTTTGCATATGCTGCGAGCAAACCGCGCGACGGGTCTGGCCTGGCGCGTGCACACTTCCCCCACTCCGATTCCTCTTCTTACTGTCCGCCTAGTCCTTTTATTTATCTATTTTTGCTTCCCGTCTACGCATTGCGTTCGAGACGTTTGGTCAGGGCAAAAACGAAAAAATAGAAATATAGGTACTGCTTGATGCAACGAGAACCATTCGAGAAGCTGTCGTTGTTTTTTGTGTGTTTGACATGACCCCATTCCCGCAGTTAGAAGCCCGTTATAGTTTGAGCGAAGAAATCGGTGGCGGCAACCAGCGTCTTTCTGTGAGAGGATTTTTGTTAGACGCGCGCTGTCGAAACCGTCGAACGCACATCAACAAAGTGCCGGGGAGCCTAGCTACCTCTCCCCTCTCTATAACCCTCCCGTCTTTTAAAAACTGATTTGGTCCTCAACCGTCAACTATCGGTGGGCGCAAATATACAAAAAAAGAAAAAAGAAAAAAAAAAAAAAGAAAGCTTTCAGCCTTTCCACTTTGGTAAAGAAGGAAAAGCAGCGGAGCTGTAATATCTGCCGCCGTCACTCATAGATGGCGGTAGCTGTCCAGAGCGTTGTGTCGACACTTATTTGTCCACGGACACGAAACTGGGAAAAATAGCTCTTAACAGTTCCGCTATAAAAGTGAATGCCGTGTTTGTTCGAATGTTATGCTCACAATTTATGGACAAGGACGCGTCGCGGCTATATATGATCCCAACATTCCGACTTGCGCTCGTTCTGAACACATGAAAAAGTCATTCTGGGTGATCGTAGCCCAGATATATCGTCTTCAGGTCAAAATTTGTCTCTGTATCATTATTGGTCAGATCACCTTTTTATGAACTGAAATGGACTGACTGTACGCTAATCCGAGAGAAAATAAGCGCATGGGTCTTGTTTATGCCCTACTTGAGAGCGATTAGTGCAGAGACTTTCGATGATGCTCACCACGTTTCTCAATAAAAAAAATCTGCGGATTATGTGGTAGCGTTTCATGCCACAATACACCAGTGAAGGCGTTTTGTAAAATTTAAATAATGGGCAGTATTTGTTTTTTCTTGTTGGTAAGGTAAACGATAACAGCACTGCTACCCGTATAAATTTCACTTTATTTTAAGAAAATAAATATGTATGGGGAAGTACCTAGTTACTTTAACCACAATAGAGAGTTTTAGTAGATCGTTCCGATACCTCCGATAGCCCCGATAACGATACTATGCATGCGCAAGGGAGGCGGTGGCGGAGTATCGGGTATGGTTATCGGAGCCATGGGAACGATCTACTAAAACTCTCTAATGCCACTCCAAAATATCCGATCGGCAACGATCATTAAACACGAAAAGCTACCCTGAACGACGTGTAGTTTTTATAGGAAACGTTTTGTCCACGCCAGAGTTTGATGACTTCTAAGAACCTGTCTAGATTTTGTAATAAAGAAAAAGAAATACCTGTCATGGACTGGCGCAAGACGCGGCTTCCGCGAAGCTTGTCTGATGATATGGTGGACATGAAGGGGAGGTGTGACAATCGCGCGGGAAAGAGCGTTTCCGCGCTTCATGGTAACAAGCGCTGTACAATCCGTACTCCGGCAACCGCGATATCTTTCACTCTAGGGCTAAAAAAGAAGAAGACGCTAAAGAAATGGCTGATTCAGCATTTTATTAGACCCTGTAGACTACTGTTTGGCCGTGAATAGGAACACGACCCGTTACATGTTTTGATATATTTCCTACCTACCCTGCTTTATTTTTATTTAAATTTCTAAAGAATTACCTGGTCTTTGCAGTTCTACTGCTACTGCTAGGTTACAGATTGTACCACGGTGATTGCGACGCACGACACGTGAGAACCGTGGGACCGCACTCGGTCGCTGGGAGAAGCGAGCGATCGTCATGCCGCCCCTTCTAGCCAACATATATCAACGCGCGTTACTGAGATCTGCAGTACGAACCACCTGGCGGAAACTCCACCGAAAGATAATTTCACAGAAAATCTAAATCATACCGCCTGCATAAAAAGGGAAGAAAAAAGAAACTGAAAGGGGAAGGGAACGCGAGATAAAATGAGCAATATTTAAAAGAATTCAACGGCATCCTGCGCCTGGAACTTGTTCCTACTCGGAGAACGAGGCTGTCTATATTTAGTACACAAGCGGAACGCGAAACTCGTAATGTGTCCCGCTGCCTTGAGACGACAATCAAACTGACGACGCGACCTTTGGAATGCAAAGATATTTCCTGTTGTCAGACGTTGCTTTAAGTCCGGACGCCCTGTCGTTTTGGACATTATGAGCGGGGGAGTTTGGACGGTGATGATGATAATGATGATGATGATAAACGCCGTGCCACGACACTCACAAGTCTGGATGCAAATTATGAAAGCGATACCCGAGCGACCGTCCGTCCTTCGTGGGGACCGGGACAACAGCTGAAGCCACGGCGACCTTGGTCAAAAAGGCATGCCTGCCAAGAACTTCTATCTTTTTTTTTATTTCATTTTTTTTTCTTTTAAGATGGAAGGTGATGGTCTGTTTATACAAAACGACTATAGTCGACCATAGTCCACGGTGTGGTAGATAGCAGGAGAGTTAGCGTAGATGAAACATAAACAGTAATAAAAAATGTAAAAAAAAAAAAAAAAAATCTCGTGACAGAACATGATTAATTTTCCGTTCGTCCTGCCCTCTTCATTCTCGAGTTTTAATTATATTGCATGGACATCGTAGCTAATTACAAACCAAGAAAGTGACAGAATGATTTCATCAACCTTGACTCCGTGCTCCAAGCATGTCACTCAAAAAGAAAAAAAAAAAAAAAAAGACTACAACGTTGTGTGTGAAGCAGCGCAGGACGTCACTTGGTGCGATGATCGAGCATGGTTTCATCTCTTCCAGTGGGAATATCGCCGAATACACGCTTGCAAATTATTTACGTAAATATACGGTATACAGGCACAGAAAACACGATCACAATTTGGTTCGAAAAAGTCACGAGATAATATACTATTAATTGCTCGTCATTTTGTAGTGTGAGCAAAAAGGGGCCCTTGCTTACATTAAGGACGTATTTTATTGGCAGCTCGGTGCCGTCGGTTTATGCTGGGGTCGTTACCACTAAACTACGTGTGGGCCAGACACCAGATCTGGAAAACTCGGGCAAATGCAGGGGCCTTAGGCAAATGGATGACGAGTCTCCAGAAGGGCCTATGCTGGGGAGAAGGACACAGTAGCTCCTGAAGTGACAATAACCTGTCCTGCTGTGGTAATGATGAAGTGGAGCGAACGGAATGAGAGGGAACAAAAACTGAAGGTCGGTAATGGCGGCGTCTATGCACAGCTACCTGAAAGCGTCTATATGGGATGTTTTCATATGACGTGAACCCGGCATTTGGTTGTTAGATGTCAGCGTGACGAAACTCGTAAGCTCTTTGTGTACTATCGATTTGAGAGCACGATGCACTCCTCGAAATTCTCGCTTCCTGCACGCGCCAGACTGCTCGTAACAACTAAAATGGTGGACGAAATCACGTCAGTGAAAGCAGCCTATTCGCGGTGAGAAGCTCGCTAGGGGCGCTTTTGGTTTTCTTCACTATGGGCAGTTCACGTGCTACCCACGCGGCTTTGTTTTAATTTTCATAGTGTACAAAAGCTTGGCATCGCACGTGCTTGCCCCAGCAGAGGAAGTTGAAAAATCCTCAGTCCGGGTTTGTGGAAAAAAAAAAAAAAAAATCTCCCGGGCGGCGATATTCACACTTTTCCTCGCCGCAAACACACCAACTCAACTCTCTGACTGCAGCGCCACCGCACCGGCGTGACGCCAGTGCGGTGGCGCTGCAGTCGGCATGGCGCATGCGCAGAAGGTCCCCACATCACGCAAATCTGGTTTCCGCGCCTGCGCAGTGCCCACACCTGGTGCGCGAGCAAACGCGGGCTCGTTTGTAAGCGGCCTGCAGGCCCGAGGTGGTAGGCCGTCGTCTCACCTGTCCCGCGAGCGACCTGGTGAGGAAGACCTCCCCGGAGCGCTTGTTGATGCGGAAGTAGCTGGAGCCGTCGAGGAAGACGGCGGGCTCCAGGCCGTACTCGATGACGTCCTGGTCCTCGTCCCGCGTCCGGACCGTCATCACCCGACTCCCTGGGACAGGACGGGGCGAAAACGAGAGGGAATGAAACGTTCGCCGCAGACACGACGACAGAATCATCTTGATGGGTATGCTTTGAACACGTCTAAAGACGGCTTTTGTATTACCAATGGGACGGCACCCCTCATAAAAGAAAAACAAAAACAAAAAAAAAAACGACTGTTTTTTGTAGACTGTCTTTTGTATGAAGTGTCAGCGATGTATAATGTGTTAGGTGCCCACCTTAGGTGTCGACCCACGGTGGGCGCCCAAGATGCCACACAAGAACTGTTAATCGCAAAAAAATGGAAAAATACGGGATTTAGGAAACTTAGGAAAGAGGGAAACAGGAACCCGGTTGACCCTAGTAATCCCCAAGCTCAGTTTCTTGCTTTTTTTTTTTCTGTTTTCTTTGTCAAGATGACGTTTAATTTTGGTACAAGTATTTGCGACACAGTGCAATGATGAGTCGATCCGACCAGGCCAACCGGCCAACCCCCCCCCCCCCCCTCAAAAAAAAGAAAAAAAAAAAACAATTAAAAATAAATAGGTGGTATTGCACAAGGTTGCTCGGGCCTCCAAGAAACTGCATTGGTTTTTGTCTGCGAAGACTGTTGGCCGTTTGTCGGTCAAGTGTGAATAAACCCTGAGAACAAAGGGCGTTGTCTTCGTTTCCACTGAGCGCCCACTCTATATATATATATATATATATATATATATATATATATATATATATATTTGTCTGTTTTGGAGGTCGAACTATTCGGAAGATAAACGGCGCAAGACCTAAACGAGAGCCGGCCTCAAACTATAGCTCCTGGTGCCTAAAACAAACAAGCACATAATAAAAAAAGTGCCTGTTTAACGTTCTTCCATTTCCCAGAAGCACTCTTAAAAAGCAATAACCAAATCTCCCGCGCATCTCTGGGGAGGTCCACACGGCCAGAGAGATGTACTGAGACGGCTATGCACGCGCCGCCCAGTTCCGTCACCCCTAACCTGACAGCGCGGTGGAAGCTACGCGCCCGTCCGACCAATCAGCCGCCTCCCTTTCATTGACTGGCCCCGCCCCCTGCTCGCGTTATGGACTGGAGCGTAGCCACGTGACAAAATAACCACGCATGACCGGTCTCACGAGCGCGTAGCTTCCAGCGCACTGTCAGCTTAGTCTCGAACGGAGCATATATAGTCTTGGCTGAGTTTGCTTTCGGGAGTTTTCCGAGGTTCTTCCGTTCGCGCTCCGCTGCCGCTCAGAAGTGCTCCGCCAGGCCCAGCTGCTTTTGCAGACGAGGCTTTGCGGCGACACCCACGGTGGGCGCCAAGATGCCACCCGTGAGCGGCTCCCTCGCTCGCCCAACCTAGTGCGGGGTCCGCTTTTTTCGCCACGCGCATTCCTAATCCGTATTCACGACCCAGCAAAGCAGGCGAAGCAGCCGCGAGCTGGTTCCGCCGCATATGAAGAAGACGGGGCCAAAACAAACCGGTAAAGAGAGAAAATATGGAAAGGCAAGGACAGGCGTCGTGAATCGTGATGAGTATCCCTCTCTCCTTCTCTCTTTTTGCCCTGAAAAAAGAGGGGAAAAAGAAAAAAATGCCAAGACTGCTAAAAATAATGAAGACAGAAAGAAAGGTGACGGAAAATGGAAGTGCGCAGTGTCGAGCACAGACGAGTGCAAAGCAGGCAGATGCATGAGCGCTAAAAATAATGCCCGCGCCTCGGCTTTCCAGCGGCACTGTACCAGCGGAGTACGCGACGGGGGCCTATCGTCGCGATCGAAGGAGCGCAAGCGCCGAGCGACGGCAACCCAAAAGACTGCGGGACAATAAACGCGCGGGTGTTTTTGCGAGTGCAGCCCGTGCGCATTTTTGCTGTATACGAGTAGCAGTTGCAGCATAGTTGTGGTAATATTCGCAGTAATTGGCGTTCTAGTTGAAATGGTAGTAGTAATTGTTTTGTAGTAGTTTTGTATAGTTGATGGTTGTGTTGTGTAGTTGTTGAAGTGCCTGATATATAAACCCTAGTAGTTAGTGTCGCAGTAGCTGTGTGGCTAAGTGCTACCATCATCGTTGCCTCATTAAGAAAACAGAAAGTTTTGAACATTATTAATCCGCTGCACGAAGTACTTCTCCTAATATTTGTTATCCGAGGGAGAAACGATGATTTTGGCGTCTGAAACGCGTACGTATTGAAGAAATAACGGCAAGCTAATATAATATTCACCCACGTGTATCTTCACCACATAAAGGAGTAAACCAGTAATGCACCGCGAGAAGCCGAACTTTTTTTACTTCGGTACTTGAGGTGCCTACGACTATACAATGTTGTAGTAGTAGTAGAGCACTAGTTTTGTAGTAGTGCTGTGTAGTTGATGTAATAGTAGAGTACTAGTTGTGTAGTGGTAGTAGGTGTAGTATTCTTGTAGTTCATGTAGTACAGTACTTGTGAAGCAGCAGTAGTCAGTATATAGTAGTATTGCTAGAGGTGATGTAGTAGTGACAACAACAACGTTAAAATGTCACACCGATTGCATCCGCACGCTGGTTACAGTAATCCACACCGCTAGACCCCATCTGGCCAGCAAGGAGAGCAAAAACCCACAAAGAAGACGAGGAAAGGAAGGACCTCTCGCGGCTTGAAGGGGCCGAGCCGAGCCGTTCCCCCCCTCCGTGTCCGCCTTCGTGACCCGACTCCTACGATACGGCGTCCTGATTCCCGCTGAGCCGCGGACAAACCTCCTCCGCGAAGGAGGAACCAGCCGCGGAGCCCGCGTGGAATACGCGTGGTCGTCGTCATCGGCGGGTCCGGCCAACAACACGCGGAAACGTGCACGTGCGTGCCGGCGTGCGCGTGCGTGAAGGCAGCACGCGCCGCCGCTCGAGCGGCCATGGCGTGTTAGGGGAACCGTGAAGCGGGATTCGGCTGCGCAGGAAGCCGCCGTCGTTGCTGTGCGTATCGGCTCGTGGCCGCCGCAATGCTACTTGTACGAGCGAAACAGCACGCCGCCGTGACCTGTTGTTACTTCGTGGTGGCGCTGCTTTACCGTTTTGTTTCTATTTTGTTTTCACTCTTTTGGATATGAATGTGCTCTCTGTGTGTGTGTGTGTGTGTGTGTATGTATGTGTGTGTGTGTGTGTGTGTGTGTGTGTGTGTGTGTGTGTGTGTGTGTGTGCGCGCGCGTATTCGTGCGTGAGTGTGTGCGTCTGTGAACGTGCATCTGTGTGAATATGTATGCGTATGTGTGAACGTGCATCTGTGTGAACACGCACGTAGCCAGGGGGGCTACGTGCGTGTTCACACACACAACTGGCGTCTGCCACATAGACTACAGATGTTGGAACGCCGCCAGTATCGCCACTGCGACAACATGACACTACTATGACGTCATCAGTCGAAAATCAAGGGCCCACTTTTCAGTACGACGTAAACGCACCAGTCGGGGACGCGTTCCAGGCACGACAGTTGTCACCACCCTTCAAGGGCAGCCGTCAACGAATGAGCTACTCGCCCGCAGCAGCGCCTCTGGCGGCGGCCTGCCGCCGCGGCACTGGCGTCTCGCTCCCGGAACCCCGTTCCGTGACGTTCGGCGCACGTTTCAACAATACCGCCATTAGCAGGAGGATCCCTCCGCGCTGCCATCAATACGGGTAGCAGGCAACGTTTTATTAGTCCGCCTTATTTTCGTCAGTCACGAGCCAGCGTGACGTTTTGGGCTTCTGCTTTCGCTGCACCGGGCCCCTCTCGCGCCGCCATCGGGGGAGGGGGAGATGGATGGCCGGAACAGCCAAGAACAGCGCTGCCATCGCCCAGCCGACCAATGGCGCGCCGTCAAGGCCGTGACGTCACGGGCCGTCGTGATCGCGCCGATTCGTGTCTGCTCTTTTGGTTCGGTACGCACGATTTCGGCTGCCGCGTTTTTTGCCGTCGGCTTCTCTGCGTAGTTCCGCGTTTCTTTGTGTTTTGTTTCGACAGCTCCTCAGGAACCGGAACTGTAGCCGGGTGTACACGTCGAACGAGCCGATGAAGCGATTGAGCCGAGTCCTGTGTGACACTGATAGCTGCTAAATTAATGTGCGGACAGAACACGTCGCGGGTCTCGTAGCAGACGTCTTAGCTAATAGACGTTCAGAGATGCATGAATAGTACTTCTGAAAGGTGCATACGGCGGATGGAGATGTTTTGACAATGACACTAATTTCTATGTAAAGCGACCTTCAATCAGGACTATCAAAGAGTCACTCAAAGAGAAGGGAAAAAAGAAACTAGTTACCACAAAAGAGAAACAAGTCTTAATGCGTCCACACAGTTACAAGTTCACAGATATTAAATGCCACTAATATTTCTACTAGAAACAGTTAAAATTTAGTCTCAAAATTCCCCCCCCCCCCCCCTTCAAGCAGGGATTTCCTCTCTAACCGCACTCTCGTTTTTTCGTAGTCAGGATACAGAGACGTGTGCGGTTCAAAACTTCACGTCACGTTTTGACGTCACGCATGTAACGCCACGAAGCACTTCATTTTTTTTTTTTTTAATATTTAAAAAAAAATGTGAATACTGAGACCTAATTTATATGTTTTATTCGAAATACCCTGAGGCTCAAATTTCGAGACCGTAGAAATTTATCCCTTTTCAAGTGCACGCGCAAAATTTAAGAATGGATAACTGGGCAGGTTGGTACGTGTTCATAATTAAAACAGCGCGATTGGAGAAGGACGAAGCGAAAAACTGGACGAAACAAACTCTGACTAGCAACAGACTGGTTTACTTTTTAAGTAACAAAGAAAAACATACACGACCCTTTACTAAAGTTTCAAGTTAGTTGTGTAAGTAGTGTGCTCGTTCACTCACGTGTAAAGCGCACATCTACGACGCCTCTGACTGGCAGCCGACGTTTTGCTAAGTCAGGCTTATTTATTTTTACGGCATGGCATAGTTGCCAAAACCGAACGCTAAACATTTCTTTCAGACCATCTACTGAGCCACCTGTAGTAGATGTAATAATCGTAACATCGCTCTCCCACAGAAAGAAACAAAAACAATCAATTGAGGTTTGCTGACACTGGGTATATTTCTGACCGGCGCTCGATGCTATGAATGTTTCGACGTGATGTGCATGACCTGTAGGAATTACGAGGTGCTACGGGGAATATCACAAAAATGTTTTTAAAACGTTTTTACAAGGCTTTTTTTTTGTTTTTTTATGCCTTGAAGTTTTTGAGCATGTACCGATCTTCGGAGACGTGCGACAACATACATACGGCAGTGAGATGAGACGTGGAATTGCCGATTTCTCAAAAGAGCGAAAAAGAAGGAAAGACACGAGCGTTTTGGGTACTTGTACATGTTACTCGAAAAAAAAAAAAAAAAAAAAAAAAAAAAGTAAGCGATTACAATTACTTTAGGTTAGAAAAAGTATTCAATTAAAATATTTGATTTCTGAAGAAGACAAGTAATTGGCCGTTACTTGAAAAAGTAACAGTTGCTTTTCCAATTACTTCAGATTTTTAGGACGACAGATTTTTCTGCCGGTTTGAATACAGGTCTTTCTTACTATGCATTGTTGGATTAGAATCACCGAACTGTAAACTACTCATCTTCTTAATGCGCCAATTTCGGTAGACATCCTCCTGACGGGGAGACTTGGTTCGTGGATTCCTTGGTAGGGAAGTTGTAGAAACAAAGGGGCGTCATTAGGAAAGGGAGAAAATGTAGTAACGGTTACAAGTAACTTTAGTCCTTCCTAAACTAACCAGATTACCCTCGAGATTTCTTCCTAAAAATGTGTTCAAACGATTACAAAATCACCGAAAGAAGTAATTTGATTAGTTGTAATGATTATACCATCCACGAGTCTGGTACTACACTACACCTGCGGTATGACTGCATATACCACTCTTTAGCGCTTATCAGCCAGACGAAAAATGCTGCTAAGCTGTGGATGCACATGTGCGGCGTCAGATACTTCTTCCACGAAGAAAAGCTACTGCTCATGCTCAGAACGCCCTCAATATGAGCCCAGTAAACAAAGATGGCACCGCGCAGAAGGCGATTACCGGAATTGTCTATGCACCAACACGCGGACATGACGTCACACCGGTGCGGTGGCGCTGCTATCGGCACGGCGCATGCGCAGTAGCCTTACCTCGCACTAGTCTGGTTTCTGCGCACGCGCAGTGCCTACACCTGGTGTGGGAAAACGCGGGCTTGTTTTGTAAACAGTGTGTTAGCCTGAATGTGAATACTACGAGGGAATGTTCCTCGTCAGTTTGTGTGCGGCTCAAATCTTGGGCCATGCGTCGTGGCCAACGTGGGAAGTGCGTAGACTTGTAAGCGCAAACACGGGGGACGACACGAAGGAGTGGACAAGGACATGCGTATGTCCACTCCTTTGTGTTCATCCCCTGTATTTGCGCATACAAGTTCACTCGGTATACATGAAACCAGCTAACCCAACAACGAGTCTCGCTAAACGACAGAAGGAAAGCAGGACGCACTTACCGACTTTCTCGTCTTCGCCGATGACCCATTCTCGTTTGAAGTCGAACACTGGTGGCGTATTTTGTCCGGGAAAACTGTAACCTGCAACACAAGAAGAGGGAGGAAACGTTTGACTCGATATTTCAATTATCATAAACCTCTTCGAAGCCTCTTCGAAGAAGCTGTAACCGACACAGGCCGTAGCCCCCCCCCGGCCCCCCCCCCCCCCCCCCCCCGGAAATCATAAAATTTTTGAGGGGGGGCACCTCAAGAAGGTAGGGCGAGGGAAAGTCGGGGAGGAGGAAGCAAACGGAACGCTGGAGAGGAGAGGGGGAAACCTCTTTTCTCCAGCGTTCCGTCCGCTTCCTCCTCCTTTGTCTTCCTTTCCCTCGTCCTAACTTCTTGAGTTGCAACGGACTGTAACCAAATACCCTTCTTTTGTTCTCTTGTTTTTACACCTCGCGGCGCCAATCTGAGTATTTGTTTTTGGTAAGGGGGCCTCAGCTATATTCCGTACGCCGCCAAGCTGAGATTAATTAACTGAATTGAATTGAATAGCTTATGAAAAGCACTAGCTTGAGCGACTGCCAGAGTAGTTTCTTCGAATTCACAAGTAAACCGATAAAACAAACATGTTTATAACGCAAAAAAAAACAAAAAAAAAACGACGGAGAACGTCGGACACACTTAGGTCTAATATCACGAACAAACAAATCCCTTGATGTTGATATTACCATGATTTCTAAGCATCAGAGAACATTCAAGTCAAACGTTCGTCATCTATTTCCTCCACGAGTTCCCCATATATAATCAAAAACTGTTTTTTTTTTACAGGAAACAGACATGGTGGCTCATTGCATTCGTCGCATGTGTCACCTTCCTTTCGTACATACAGCAAATAAAATCTCAAATACGCGATCCTAAATACCCCTTGCAGCGATGGTGAAGTACGATTGCGAATGATCTGCCCTTTTAAACATCAGCGGGCTGACTAACAGGCGACCAAAATGCCTTCCGTTCGCCGCCCTGGGGCTATATGCGAGCCATAGCCTGCGAAAATTGCGCCTTCAAAACAGCAGGTAGGATTTGCGCATGCGCAAAAATACGGGCTAAAAAAAAAGAAAACGAAGAAAATTGGGTTGTGTGTATGTTTATACAGCCTAGGAGCTTGGTCTGTCTCATCGGATCATCGGAAGTTAGTCAGTCTCAATGGGCGTCTGGTGTCTCGGTTGCAGATGAGAAAACTTTGCCAGTGCAGTGCAACCACTAGTCTGGGGTCTTTAACGTCCACCACGCACTAGTAATGCACTACCGCACGCCGGTACGATGCTCATCCAGATCAAAACGGGAAGCGGTGGGGATTGAGCCCAGGATCCCTGGGTTCTGCAGCGCGAGCTTTCGCTCCACGTGCTCCGAGCTGGTGTGCGCTAGCCCACTCAACCACCAATACCCCCCCCCCCCCCCCCTTAAAAAAAGAAAAGAAAAAACCGAAGCATTTGTGCATACGTAGTTAGGAACATACTACATTTATATAAATTTTCTTTTTCAAATATCGGTTATTTTAGGTATCTTGTCCATCTTCTCGACAAACTCCCCTTGGAGTCGAATGCCATTGCACCAAACTTGTCCGTAGTCCAAGTACTTTACTCAAGTTACTGTAGTTTAACTACTTTTCAGGGTAGTTTATTAACTTTCAATTACATTTTTATTTCCGTAATTAGTGGTTTACTTTACTTACTTCTTCCGAGTAACTTCTACTCAAATTACAAATTACTTTCGAATTTTAGTGGTAGGTTGGCTTATCAACAAACATTCCACCACAAAAAGAGATACGATGTTGGAAGATCAGCTGATATTTGCAAAGAGGTGGAAGCATGTGGTGTGAGCAGAAGGAGGGAGAGGGCCGGGGGGGGGGGGGGGGGGGGGGGGCGACAAAAGACGTCGCAAGTGAGGATGAGTAACTGCGGAATTAGTGCCGAAAACACGTTTTTATTGTCCCGAAGCTCAAGGACGCTTGGCGCATTTGAAAAATCGTTCAGCCTTTCCACTCTCTTGAAGGAGGAAGACCAGCGGAGCTGTACTCGATACACTGTGTACTTCTTCGTCGTCGTCTGTCTTTCGCGCTGTTTCCTACGATGAATTCCCACCAACGCGCCCAACTATCCATTCTTCTATTATAGCTGGAAAGGTTGCCGCCATCTACGAACGACGGCGGAAACCATACTGGGTGTGTGCTTGTCGCCGTCGCTTATAGATGGCGGTAGCTGTCCAGGTAGGTTTGTGTCGACATACACGGACACGATCCTGGGGAACCTAGCCCTTAACAGCTCCGCTGTAAAAAGGGCTTGACCCAACTTCTTTCTAACGTAGGAACTCTCGCCCACTACAGGTGTACCGTACACACTGCATCCTCACTCAAAGGAGGCAACAAAATGCAGCAGCGGCACTGAAGCTAATCTGGTGCTCCCGTAGTTTGTGCTGTACCCAAATAGTATTAATATTGTGCTAAAGGGCAACGCAAAGGGAACCGCGTTGCTTTTCCTCCCAAAACTCAGAACATGCAGGACTTGCAGGATTCGAAAATCGTTCGAGAAACCTTAGTAATTCCATCAACGTTTTTACATAAAAAAAATAATAAACTAGCAGTGTTGGGAAATACTTTAAGTACTACTTCAAGTAGGTTTAGAAAACTTGCATTTTGCTTGAAGTAAACTTTCTGAGCATGTATTTGTACTTTACTGAAGTTATTTTTTTCTGGTACTTTCAGAAGAAAGTACAACTCCCGACTTCAAAATACATTCCCCAAATCTGAAAAAAAAAAAAAAAAAAAAAAAAAAAACAATAAAATGGCTATCTTTATGCGAAAACGCGCTATCGTCTTTCGAGGCGTCATTTGGTCATTTCTCTGAAGGAAGCAATGGCCGCTATAAGACCGACAGAAATAAGTCCGTTATAAATTTATTGTGTTAAATAGTTTGTCAGTAAGAGTAAGACAGCTACTCTGTGGCGACTTGACTTTATCTAATATTTGCCGCCATTTCTGAAAAAAAATTGATGCACCTCCGATTACCCCTAAAGCAATGCATATCAGTAAAAAAAAAAAAAAGACACCATATATGGGGTGAAAAAGCATCACGAAAAAAATGAAATACGTTTAAAATCCTCTGTAACGCCGAATTAGAGCGCAGCTCTAGAGGAGGAGGGGAAGGTACGGAGAGGAGGGTAGGCCCTTCCTCCTCCTCCGTACCATTTTTGCGATAAATTTAGCGGGGGAATTTGCCCATAATGCAACGCGCGGTGACGTCACGAGTTACTTCACACGTGACGTCATTATGAGAAACGTCCCATAATGCAACGCGCGGTTACGCCGATGGTGACGAAGACGCCGGTCAAGCCGGAAACAGGCATCTAAGAGCGCAGAAAAGTACTTCTACTTTACTTTGAAAGTGCATTGCATTGCATTTATAGTACACACTTAAAGTTTTAACACCCTTTTTGGTGTAAATGGCTTGTCCTATGGGGAGCACCCTTATTCGTGTAACAGAACACCCTAGGAAAGGGGTGTAATTCTTAGCACCTTAAGAAAGGGGTGTGATTTTCGGACATCCTAAAAAGGGGTGTGATATTCTCACACCCTAGAGTAAAGGTGTGATCTTTCTAACACCCTTATTCATGGGTGTGATTTCCGACACCCTAAAAAGGGGTGTGATTAATGTATAACACCCTAAAAAGGGGTGTTACTTTCTGACCCCCCCCCCCCCCCCCCCCCCGGTATTGTCCACCTCTCAGAAATTCCTGGGGAGAACCCTGCTTGCGACATTTATTCTTTCTAGCACTGGTGACGTAAGCAAAACTCGACAGGCTTGGAAAGACGGAACGACCGGAAGTTACTTGGGACGCGAGCGGCAGTTCATGTTTTTAAGCATGCTTGCAAAGTACTTACAAATAAGAGAGCGACCTCACGTAATCCGTGATAGATGAATAATCCGATTCGGGCAGCACAGAACAATTCGCAAACACAATGCCGGGGATGAAGGCGGTCGCTCACATTCAACGGAAGCCTCGCGATCACCGATGAGCAGCTCTCTGTCGTGATAGATGCACAATCCGATTGGGGCAGCACGAAACACCGCAAACACAATGTCGAGGATGAAGGCGGTCGATCACATTCAACGGAAGTCTCGCGTCCGCCGATGAGCAGCTCTTTGTCGAAACTCGTCCAACAAACACAGCACAATGATTCCATAGACTCCGACGAAGTAAATGGCCAATAGATGAAAAAGTTTGCATAGATGTATTCTGGCCGTTCACGACGAAAAACCACGGTCGCGAAATGGAACTCGTCAGGACCTGCTTGCACGGAAAAGAGAACACTGACGGACGCTTTTTGGAAACCGGATTTACGTGGTCCCTACAGCTCACCATAAACTGGCAAACGGCGAAGGCTATGACTCCAGTAAGCCACCAGCGCGTCAGAGCGAGTCGCGTGACCAATGTTCGTCCACGCGTTTTTGTCCTACGGAGAGCGGTCACGTGTTTCGCTCCACACCTCTGATTCGCTAGAAGCGGCCTTCGCACTCGCTCACAGCCACACGGACACAAAAGAAAGTGGGGAGGCTTATCAGAAGAAGAGGTCAAAGGGGGGTGGACAAAGCTGCTAATCTCCCTCTGCTGCCTCCTGGGCTGCACAGGGAGGGTCGCCTTGTATGTGGGACCTTGAAGTTGTTGTTGTTCGAGTGGCGGTTCCCTTTCGAAAAGTGTGGAGCCGGGGAGTGGCTTATGCTTTCTGGGTAGAACTCGTTGATCGTCGTCTTGTTTATGCGTTTGAATTCCTTCTTTCTCTTTCCTTTTTTTCTTCATGTGTTTGGAAGTGTATTTATTGGTTCAGTCAGGTGTGTTTGTGCTACCCAAAAAAAGGCGCCACTGTTTGTTCCAAGCTTCAGCGCAGTTAAAAAGAAAATGAATAAAAAGATTAAGCAAAGCGGAATTTGCTCGCTTTTTGCCCGGAAAAGACTTCTCGGGCTAAAAGCAAGCAGATTCCGTTTTGGCTAATCTTTTTTTTTTTTATTTTTAACGTCGTATTTTAGGCGGCAAAGAAATAG